AGCAATCCCTCTTATCCTCTCAGTCTCAGCCAGTATATATTGGACTTGCAGTTATTCAATGTCTTTGTTTGATTCTCTTTACGGCTCCACTAGACACCAGTTTTCTTAATGGAAAAGTTTCCGATTAAGTTTCTAATCCTTAATTATTTGGTACATCAATAGTAGAATAATAATGCATGTACTTTGCCATTAAGTTTCTAGGGCTAGAAGAGGAGCTTAAAGTGAGGAAGCTATCCAAGGAGGCCAATCCCATCATGATTTCTTTACATTTGTTGATGGTGAGATTGACCTCCTTAAATAGCCTTCTCATTTTAAACTCCTCATTATAGCCTCCCGCTAAGTTTCTAATCCTTTAGTAATATTGAGTTTTGTTATAATTTGGATCCCTATATTGGGCTTAATACTGAAGCTCCCATCTTGATACTCAATAATATTATAATAAAATATTATTTTCAATTTTCACAACTAAGACAAATAACAGGCTCCACTAGCCTAGGGTTAGACCAATAGACTTTTGGGACATGAAATGAACAACACGCCTCCTTAGCTACTAGCTGTCCAAGTGCAATATCCAATCACACAGAAGAAAGAGAAGCAAAAATAGAAATTCAGAGACACGGATGGCTGCAGCTATGTGCTGGTTTGGTTGCCAAGAAGAAGATGCAGGAATGTATTAGCAACCAGTTTAACAATTGCATAGAGATCTCAAGAGCATAACTTTTATATTTATTAATGTACTCTGTTTCTTTTCGTTTCAGAAACCTATATCCAGTAAAATATACATAAAAAAATTACATAGACTGGCAGAGACAAATAATGACAGATGCGCCCAAGATTGATTTTAGGGGTCACATAATAATCATACAGTTGCAGCCTTGAGAGACAAAAAGTCTGAAATCTTGTTCATGTAAAAGTCTGGTTGTATGGAGTTGTTAGGACTCTGAAGCACTGATAACAAAAATACGGACTTTAGTGTAGTTACCTGCGAGAACAAAAAGAGTTTTGCAACCACCATTTTGTCCAAACAGAAGATCAGTATCTAATCTGTCCCCAACCATGCAAATCTATGACTTCAGGATGCCAAATCTGTCATTGATTAAATTCAACTGACTAATATCAGCAATTATATGACCAATATGTTTTCATCAGATCCATTGAAGTTCACTTCTTTAAGATGTCAAGTGTTCTGCGACTTAGTACATGTCAGCTACTAATTAGAATGCAAAATTACATCACGAAAATTGAACATTCTGTTACAATAATTGCATTCTTGTATTTACAAAATCATTGATGTTTACCTCATTAGTCAAAGTCGTGTCTTTTAACTTTTAAGACGCACATAATCTAGATGGTTGCTAAGCATAGTGAGTGATTAAAAAGATGAGTCAATGATGAAACTCCTCTAATGTTTGTCAGACAAACCAAATATAGCAATATAACTTCAATAACTAAATAATTAATCTACAGTAAGATAAAAAATAAATAATGTAAGATAGGCCATTGATCTCTCTCTCTCTCTCTCAGAGTAAATGCGCAGGCACGCACACTTGTGTACTCTGTGCACAGTTTAATTTCATTTTTGCAAGTCTATGATGGACTAACACTACAATTTGTTAGCACTTCAATGGTTTCGTTATCACAAGTAGTCTTGTGCTTACAAAGCAAATCAATCGCTGTCTTGCTTCATCAGCATAAGTAGGCACATTATATGTCTTACAATGCAATACCCATTTATATCTCTTATAATGCATCTCGGATTATAGATATTGTGGTACGTATAATATTTGGTACACAAAGGTTATATATCTCTTATAAAGCATATTTAAAGCGCATTATATGTATCACACTATATGATATCCACCTTAAGAGAATGCCTTGGTGTTATATAACATAAAAACTCTTATCAGAATATGGTCTTTGCTCAAGATAACAGCACTCATGTTACTTAAGAAAAGATAAAACAATGAAGAACAATAAATAAAGCATTTGACTTACTCGTTTGCTAAGTAGTCCATCATAAATGTTGAGGGTTTTCCCACAACCAGTGGCTCACGTTGAGTAGATCTGCGGATAGCGCCAACCATAGAACCACCACCTGAAGTTGAGTATAAATTATAGTAGCTATTGAGAGAAAATTATCGTAGCTTCATCAATTCGTCAACAACCTTTTTGGCTAGGTATTTTCAGGTCCAGAAATTCAAAATTTCCCAGTCAACTTTAGAAGTTTAGGTCTCATATAATCAAGTCATTTGGAACCACTAACCCATGCATTAGTAAATGCATAGATAATCTGATTCAGTATCTGAACATTAACGAGTTCAATAAATTCTAATGAGTTCTTTTTTATAAGATCCAATAAAAGGTGGCCATTTTCACAGTCCTATCTCCTCTCCCTTATATTATGCTTTGATATATTGAACAGAAACAAGGAGGTGAAAGCATATATAAATGTGAGTGCAAAGTGTACAAATAGGAGTGTGAAAATCACTGCCCCTAACAAATGACTTCTGAATTTTAAACAAATTCCAATTAGAAAAATCTTTACAGTATGTATCTATAACTGACAGACTTTTCTCGTCTTTAGACTTAACAATAAGTCAAAGTCGTCAGATAATGAAATTTGGCTCAGATTTTCAATATCTACTTTTCCAGAGAGAAGTGCTTCAAGAGACAGGCTACCAAATCGATGGGTTCAACCGAACAGTGACAAAAACCAATTAATTCAACCATGGCCAGCTACCAATTAAATAAATACCAAATTTCTTCTAAACAGAATTGACATTATCAACCAACAAAAGACTCTAACTTTAACAAATCAAGAGACAATAAGTAAAACCAATCAGATATAATTAAACCAAACCCATGTAAATTACTTTTTTGTTAAGAATACCAGCACCTATGCAAATCCTTCCTTGGTTACACTAGCCAAATTAACCCAAATGTCAAAATCAAGAACGATTAACATTATCCCAACAAAATAATCTCATAATTATAGCAGAATTAACATTACCACGATATAAGCAAAGGCTCATATTTTTATACCCTCAACTAAACCAATATCAAGATCAAACGCGATAAACATTACCACAACACACAAACTAAATTCACATTTCTTCTGATAAATCAATAAAACCTAACTTAAGATCAAAATCAGCAGCATTAACATTACCGCAACACGGGGAAAAAGTAAGAAAATTTGTGATCAAACCGAAATCAAAATTAAGCAAAATTAACATTTCACAGCTAAAAAGGCTCGACATTCACAAACCAGAATCAGAATGAAGAAAATTCAGATAACCAAAATCATTTTATAGAAACTAGAATAAGAAAATAAAAGCTGTCATCATTAAAAATAAAATTAGCACAAAGCCACCTGGTATCGATGTGAGGCGACATCATTGGATCGGGAGCTGTTGGCGATCACCACATACCCCGCACCTCTGGTTCCGCCGCCGTCCATAGCGGCGGCTGCGTCGTCGTCGCCGCCACTATAGAAATCCTCGTCATTGTCGTCGTCATCATTAGCGTCGAGCACGTCGAAGTCTTCGTCTGATTACATTTCGTGCGTTTTCTGATGAAGAGGATCAAAACCCTAATTGGGAATCAATCCTAACTGCACTGAACAAAAGAGGGCTGGGGTTGGGGTTGATTGGAGGAGAGACACACAGAGCGGGAAGTATGTAAACTAGAGAAGGAGGGAGGGTGAAATTGGTAATTTACTCTATTTAAAGAGTATATCCGTTCGGCTATACTATTTTTTGGTTTTTAAATAGTATAGCCCGCCGGCTATACTATTTAACTATTCGAAGCTATTCCCTATATTTAAACAGTATAGCCGGTCGGCTATACCATTTTTGTTATACTTTTTTTTGTTTTTAAAAAATTATGGCCGAGCGGCTATACTCTGTTTTTAAGAGTATAGCCGCGCGGCTATACCCCTTTTTGTTTTTAAATAGCTCC